TTTGGTAAATCTAATATGGACTTCCCTTGGTAATTTATTTCTCATCGCATATCTTGTAAAAACTCGATATACCTCATCTATTCCATCCATCATCTTTTCCTCTGTAATTTCCAACGCATCCGCCAAAATTTCTATCATTATCGCAGCCAAGTTTTGTCCTTTTTCTTCTTCTATATTTTGAAATCTGAGATAGAATTCTGACCTCTCCATCTCCCACCTCAACATCCCACTTTTATCTTGTTCAACCACTGTTAATCTGCTGTCAATATTTCCAATCTTCTCCTCTCTTTGTTCACCTTCTTCCTCAATTTTTTGGAATCTCTCATCATACTTCGTCATCATTTGTTGAATATTTTCAATGTTTTCATCAGTCTTCCCTGTTCTTTGTTCAATATTCTCTATTCTTTGTTCAATGGCATCTGATTTTGTCTTGAGATCTTGGATTCCTTGCATAATCATCTGTAAAGTCACTTTTTCTTGTTCTTTATCTTGCTTCAACATTGTCTGAATCAAGCGTTGTCCAGCTGGTGGGGAGGCAGAGGTAGAAGTAGAAACGCCAGAAGATATGGGTTTTCTGCTCATTTTGATGCTTCAAGACCTTCAAATTCTTTTTAGCTTTTAATCCAACTGGTAGAATAGCCAATTATAATCCAAAATGGAAAAATCCAATAATAAAAAGCCCAATAACAAAAAAAAAGGAGAAAAAGAAGAAGAAAATTTTCAGGTTCTTCTAGACCCTAATCCAATTATGAAGTAGTCCAAAATAAAAAATGAAAAATAGAAAGAAGAAAAAAAAACCAAAAAACCAAAAATAATAATCTTTAATCCAATTGGGAAGTCTCAATAATAAAAAAAAGAAAAGGCAGAGTGGTCCAAAAATATAAATGAAAAAAGCAGAAAGAATCCCAGTAAAAAAAAGGAAAAGAAAAGAAAAATAAAGAAAAAATTCTGAGGCTTTCCCTTTAAAATAAAAAGCAAAAATAAGAATATTACTAAAATTAAGGTTTACAGAGAGGCTGGTGAGTAGGGGTACACGACTGAAAAGAGATTAAAAAAACCACACTGCTCTCTATTTATTTGTCCAAGGCTCTTATTATGACTCTCTTCTCAACAAGCTTCAAGGCCAAGCCTCAAGTGTTGAAATGTTGATAAGGGTCCAGGAGAACACATGTAATAATATTCTACTACGCTCTCCCTCTATCTTATCAAATTGAAATGTCCTTGAGAAGTAGTCTTTTCAAAGTTCTTCTCCAATTCAAATAAAATATTTTCAAGCCTCTAGTTGGCAGTGTTACAGAATTTCTTAATCCACTTCCCCCCCCACCAGCCAAAAAAACATTTTTTAAATTAAGCAAAAAGAAAAAGTATTAATATATATATATATATATATATATATATA